AGGTGGTGTTGAAAGGAGCTCCAGGTACGCCCGGCACAATCCTCAGGACCGTCCCGATGAGCGGAGTCAGACTGGTCTCGCCAGGAGGTGTCGGCACCAAGCCCGGCACAGTAACCACGCTGGTTGTCAAGGGAACCACAGGTAACCCACCTGCACTGACCCTCACAGCAGGGGGATGCTGTCGCTACGAGGCTACAAACTAATGCCTGACAATGTATGATTTGTCACATTTGTTTTGTCAGTGCTGCAGTGACATGTCTACCAATCATACTCATATCAACTCACATTAGAGCAACATTGAGCTCCTCCAGACTCTAATGACACCTTTTTTCTAATAACACTCACATGCAGTATACACAGCGTGTGATGTTGAAACAGCTGTATGACGTAGTTCTCCTTATCAGCCTGAAACATTTTGAATTTTCACACTTTGTGTTTTTGTCTGGCATTATTGACGTGTGTTTGTTGCCTCTGCTACTATGTGTGTCTGTGCTTTAATACACAGACAAACGCCTCCTTTCACTGCGTGAGACGTTCTGTTTTTGGTATGAAGAAGATTATGGGACATAGGCCTCTAAACAGCTTGACTTTTCACACTTAAAGCTCTCCAGTGGGCTACACTAGACCCTTTAGTGGGTCGGTTCTGGCACCAGGGCTGCATGATTAAAACTTCTCTTCTACACTGCAAATATGTTACATGTATAAAATGTCTCACCACTGAAACATTTGCATGCAAACTACAGCAACAGCATCCATCCTGCATTATCCAAAAGTAGCAGGGTTAAAAATCTGAGCCAAATTTGAGGTCAGAGATGATGACGACCAGCTGGCTCACGATTTTGTAGCAGCGATGATAGCGCTGTCCAAAATGTTCCAGCGGCTGTTGCACTGCACCCCCGCTAAGTCTGTTCAGTGTCAGTGGACATGTGACCAGTCCAAACACAGCAGCTGTGATTTTACCTCTGCAGGTGTCTCCAGTCTGGGGACGATTACAGGAAACATCTCCACTACCGTGGCAGGAACCGCCGGTGCTCAGGTTAACGCCTCCTTGGCAACGCCAATCACCACCCTGGCAACTATTGCCACACTGGCTGGCCAGGTCACGACAGCCACAGCTGCCACTGGACCCAAGCAGGTAATTCATCTAATGTTGGAGAAATACTGGAATACTTTACTGTAGTACTGCAGTTACACTGGACAGGACATGAAAAAAACTATCAACTTGTTTTTAGTACTTTTCTTTCTCCATTATTCTGTAGTAATACTGTAATTTCTCTCTGTAGGTGACTCTGATCACAACACCAAGCGGTGCAGAGGCTCAGCCGGTCGTCCAGGATCTGCCAGTCTCTATCATGGCTTCTCCTACTTCAGAGGAACCTGGAAGTACTACGATTACGAGTACAACAACTACTGCGCAGGGAGAGACTGGGGAAAGTGCAGTTGCTGCAGGTACAGAAACCAGTACCACAAGTTTTCTATTTAGCTGCTGCACGAAATAAAATGTAATGCACGTTGAACTACGTGATGGTTGTTTCAAAGTTTTTTATGCTGTTATTAATGATGCTGCAGTGACAGTGGTCTGCTCCAACCCGCCCTGTGAGACGCACGAGACGGGAACGACGAACACTGCCACAGTCGCCACTGCAAATATCCTCGGTAATAACCAGGTGTGCTCAAACCCACCCTGTGAGACGCACGAGACGGGGACGACCAACACCGCTACCGTCGCCAGCGCCAACATCGGCGGTAGCAACCAGGTGTGCTCAAACCCGCCCTGTGAGACGCACGAGACAGGAACAACTAACACTGCCACGGTGGCCTCAGCGAGCATGAGCCAGCAGCTGCAGGTGAGTTCATGAGTCTTTTTTCTCTCCGTAGTACCAACTCAACTTGAGTCGACTCTCCTCAGTCATTCTGTTATAATTGAGGAGCAGCTCGCTGTGCATGTGGTTGTTATAGGAGCGCATAGTCAAGTCTGTAAAACGGTTTAGCTAACAGTGCAGGAAAAACTCAGTCCTGTAAGGGCTCGCAGGGTTTTTGCTGATTCTGTGTGACCATCATGTTCCCGCTTTTCCTCCTCAGATGAGTTCAAACCAGCCTGCAGCTCAGCAGTCAGCTCCACCTGCTGTCATTCTGAACACCTGCTCAAATCCACCGTGTGAGACCCACGAGACTGGAACCACCAACACCGCCACCACTGCTGGAGTTGGTGGGCTCCAACAGGTCAGAGAGCGCTTGAGTCCTGACACATGCGGGTTACTGGTGGACAGTCATTGGTTGAAGGTGTGGTGATGTCTGTAGTTAAACACCAGCTGTTTGTGTCTGCAGGTGTGTTCGAATCCACCATGTGAGACCCACGAGACCGGGACCACCAACACTGCCACCACAGCTGGAGCTGGAGGGCTCCAACAGGTGAGTCAGCTGATCAGAAGGTGAGTTGTGGCAGGTTAAAGACAAACAAGAGTAACGGTTTCTGGTTTCAGGTGTGTTCGAATCCACCGTGTGAGACCCACGAGACTGGAACCACCAACACCGCCACCACTGCTACAGGTAACCTGCTCACACCTGACTTTTTGAAGACAAAGAAAAACGAGAGCTGAAATGACCTCATTTCCTGTCCTGTGGTCTTCAGCTCAGCAGGGTGGAGACAGCCAACAGGGGGAATCCACAGAACCTTCCACATCTGAGCCCCCCTCCACAGCAGCCAATCAGAGCAGAGCTATTACTACTGTTACACAGGCCACGCCCACACCAGGACCAGCCATACCTGTAAGAGGCAGACACGCGGACACACACCCGTGGCATCACTATTATGACACATTACACCAACATGTCTGTGCCTCTGCAGGAGATCTCGTCGTTGGTCGGACAGCCACGGGAGGAGTCCTCGGAGGCTGTTGCTATGGACACAGCAGCAGATGAGGGGGAGGAGCCTATGCAGACAGACAGCCAAGCAGAGGATGTGATGTCATCAGCAGCGGCAGTGTTACACGTTCATGTTGAGGGTGGTGATACGGCAGCACAGGTAAGACGTTCCCACACACACTCGCACAAACACTCACCTACAGGCAGCTGATTGGCTTGTCCCCACCCTCAGATGGCGTCCTCAGACGGCGGTCTTCCTCAGGAGCTGATGTCGTCTGAAGGGGACGGAGGCGAGGACGTCTCTGGGACGGCGACGACCCTGATGGTGACGGGGGCGCTGATGCCGGATCAGCTGGCTGTTACCACGGCAACAGAGGAAGCAGCCCAGCAGGCGACGATACAGGCAGTACTGCAGGCAGCGGGACATATCGGTGAGAAGATGTCATTATTTTAAAGACTCGTCTGGCCGTAAGTGGACGTAAGAACTCCATGAATATGAAAAGCTGTTACTTCACTTATTTCACACTTACTTTCACCACCACTGCAGTTTCACAACATCACAGCTTCATTAATGTCCGGGTTCTGATTACTCTGATCCCACGAGAGCACTAAAAACCAGCCATGATCATTCACGTTAAGCCAAGAAAAGAGTCCAAACAGCTGGAGCTACATCTGTGTCCTTGCATGTTTCCAGTTCCAGCTGTTTGCTCTTTGGGGTCAGGGATTTGATAAGCCAACTGCAGTGTTTCCCAATTCTCCCCTTTATTCGATCAAACGCCTCCTCGGGAAACATTAAGAGTTCACCGGCTCGCCTTGCTAGTTTCAGGTCATACTGATTAAAACATGAAGTTCGTTTTGTACGCTACAGTTTTTGTAAGAATCACAGAGGGGGATTATCCAGGATAATCTCATCAGCTAATGACCTGCCGACCACAAGTCATTAGCTGATGGGTGTGCGGGTTCACAGTCAGGTCCACCCCTCACTCATCACATCTGAGTGTGCAACAAAAGTAAAGGTTTAAAAGCAAAATGTGTGGATCCTGTAATAGGCAATATCTTGGGCTATCAATTACCACACAATTTTAAAACTGTATATCTTGGGAATATTAGAGAGTATGTTATGTACGACGACTTGTATTTGACAAAAATCCTGTTGATAGCTGCAAAGAAAGCTATAACAAGAAACTGGTGCAAACTGGATCCGCCTTCTTCAAAAGACTGGTTAAATATTGTTGGAGAAATCTATGCAATGGAAAAAATGGTTAAAGGAAGATATTTTCGTTGCTAAGTGGGAGAAGTGGACATTATATGGCACCAAGGAAAATTAATGAATGAACAAAACATTTATGGTCTATAACTCTGTATATCTGTTGATGCTTGCCCGTATAAAAGTACGTATATAAGCTGGAGTATGTATGCTGCGGAGTAAAGGCAGGTATGCATACGGTAGTTGATTAGAATTGGCACCCACACCTTTTGTTCGCTTTAGTTCTGTTTGTTTTGACTGTGTGCTTGCATGGTTATTTCTCCTGTAATGCAATACATGTCTGTGTTTAAACTGTGACAAA